TTCCACTAAAAAGGCCTAGAAGCAATGTCAACCCAATGGCCATGAGCACCCATAATGACCAGAGACTGTGGTCTCTAACTACAATTTTCCAGTAAAAGAAACCAGCACTCTTTGGAAAATTACTTATACCAGTTCTGGGGCTAGAAAGGCACAAGAAACTCCCACACATCTTGACATGCCAGTAAACCAGGAAGTCATCCAAAATTACTGGGATCATATCTAAAGGACGTAGGAGCCAACATGAAGGTGTTTCTACTGGCCAAAGATAAGATAATATAAACATCGAAAAGAATATTTGCAATGAATAATGGACTAAAACACATCTGTGGTAGGCTGAATAATAGCCTCCCAAAAGATATCCATGAGAACCTATGAATGTTATACAGGAAAAAAAAGACTTTATAGATCTGATTAAATCAAGGACTTTGAGATGAGATTATCAAAGTAGGCCCTAAACATAATCACAAGTATCCTTATAAAAGAAAGGCTGAGAGGGATGAGACATAGAAAAGAAGGCAATGTGACCACAGAGGCAAAGGTTGGAGTGATGTAGGCACAAGCAAAGAATGATGGTAGCCACCAGAAACTGGAAGACGCAAGAAACGGATTCTCCCCTAGAGCCTCTGCGGGAAGCACTGCCCAGCCAATACCTTGATCTCAGCCCAGTGAAACTGATTTCAGACTTCTGGCCCTAGAGCTGGAAGATAATACATTTCTGTTGGTTTAAATCACAAAGTTTGTCGTAATTTCTCACAGCAGCCATAGGAAACCAACATAAAACATCAACTAAGTTTACACTGGTGAGTGCATAATGACAGTAAAAACTGAACAAACTCATTGATCTCCATGGAGGGTGTAAGGAAACCAACTCATTATTCTGACAGAAATTAAATAAAGTGAAAAAAAACCAAGCATTAATCATGCTTTTCCTACAGGAAATGTACCTCAGGGAAACCAAATAGTTGATAAGAGAATTCTTTCCTTATTGAAGAATTATACCTAACAAAAGCAGAAAGAATTATGGAGTTAGATCATTACCCTTTACAAACCCATAATGAAAAAAAATCTAACCACTGATCATCAATAGCTGCTAAAACTATATATTAACTCAGTTGTTCTTACCTTCCCTAAAAATTAAAATCAATTAGGGATATGAAAAACATACAGATACCTACATTTTTTGCAAAACACTGACTTTACCCTTTGCAATCACAAATAAGAGAAGAATGCCACCTATCTCTACTTCTTCTGAACACTGTACTGGAGGTCCGAGACAGTGCAATAAGGCAAGAAAAAGAAATGAAAGATCAAGATTAAGAAGGAATTAACAAAATAGTCATTTGCAGATGATTATAAACATTGAAAATAAAAAAGAATCTACAGATAAATTATTATAAAAAAGAAAGCTGACTGAAGTTACTAGATACAAAATCAATATATCAGTATTACATATTGATAATATATTTATATATAATATAATATATAATATATATTATGTTATATATAATATAAATATTATATATTATAAATTATACAAAAATCAATATGATTTATAGTTAAAGAAACCATTAACAAAAGTACCCAAAGATGGAAAAAAAAAACTAACAAAAAGTGTTATGGAACATTAAATAAGACCTAAATAAATGTAGGAAAAACTCTGTTTATAGATTGGAATGCTCACTACAGTATTTATAAAGATTTCACTATAGTATTTATAAAGATTTCAGCTCTCCCTAATCGTTATATAGATTCAATACAATACCAATAAAATTTCCAACAAGTTTATATTGAAAAACATATTGATTCTGAAATTTATATGGAAATGCAAATTGCCAAAAATAACTTGAAAAATCTTGAAAAGAAAAAACAAAAGTGAGAGGACTTGGGCTAGCCAAGTGGCTCACTTGGTTAAGAGCTTGCTCAAGAGTGCGAGCTCTGAACAACAGTTCACCGGTTCGATTCTTGGCCGAGCTGAGCCACCGCTGAGCTGCCAACAGGTGGCAGGATGGCTCAGCTAAAAAAAAAACAAAAAAAAAAACAAAGAGTGAGAGGACTTTCTCTACCCAATATCAGACTAATTATAAACCTATAGTAATTAAAAGTGTGGTGCTGGCACCAGGATAGACCAGGAGTCGGCAAACTTTTGAGACGGAAAAGCCGCCAGGGGTCAGCAAACTGTGG